ACTGGCCAAGCAATGGCCGTGACTCATCCGCATGGCAGACACTGACAAAGGATTTACAATTTGAGGTACAGAATCTCAGGATTAAATCCTGAGGGGATTTGACTGACCTTATCAGATCCAAAAGCTACAACTCTTGTTGCATAGGTCTTGCTTTATCTTGGTCTTAATCATTTAGCAGAAAAGTATAAAAACGAAGTATAAGAAGTAAAGCCATGCTGTTATGTTGAACTATAGGGGACTCAGGTCAACAATTTCTGACACTGCCAGTGAAGTGGAAGACCCAATACTATCATGGACTACTGGACTCTTTTGGAATATTTTGCTGAGTTCACACACTTATAATATTCAAATGACAGGAGTAGACAGAAAAGGGGATACAGATGAATATCCACTTTGTGTATTCAAAAAGGTTAGATGGATATATAGTTACATTCTCTTAATGAATAGAAGGATTTGTTCTAATGGTGTTTGTAAATAGGATATCATGTCTGCATCTTATACAGCAAATAATCACTAGGAGGAGAGTATGCAATGTGTTAAGTATTGAAACTGTCCTACCAATTTAATTTGAACCTGTCTCATTGCTATTTGTTTCTCGATAAAATTATGGAAAAAAATTAAAAAATAAACTTAGAAAGAGGGAGGAGCAGAATAAGGGAGGATAGGAGGGAGGGAGGATGGGGATCAATTTTATTTGACGCTACTGTCAACAGGTCTATTTCCCAGTGCACAGTGAAACTGGAGTTGTGAATCTGCTGTTCTCCATCTAAACTTCATTCTTACACATCTCAACTTCTCACTATGCTAACTGTCATTTTTCTGTTTAAAAATACAATTGCAACGTGCTATTGGCAAGAGTAAAGCAAGTGGGTAAGTAAACCTGTCCTGGTGCTGGGGCATTTCTCAATAGGATCTGAGTCTTGTGCACATGTTGGTGCAGGAATGAGAGTCTTAGGAGGACTGTATACAGTGTCTCCTGACCCCCTACTGGCCCTTGGTGTGCAGCAGTGTTGACATTTGAGGTGGCAGATGTGGTGCCGGTGCCTGCCTGCTGGTATACAGAGTGAATGCCTGAGCCAGCCCAGAGCGTCTGGATGTTTAAGGGAATAGTAAGAGATTATTGTTAAGCTGAAGACTTCATTTGCAAACCAGTAACAAGGAATCTCCTGGATCTTGAGCCATATATTTTTCTTGAAAAGTACTCATTTTCTTTTAAAATTTTGTCAGGGGTCATGTTATTGAGAGGTGAAATGAGATAAATATGAAGTTTTATTTAATGACACATTATATTGCAAAGCTGAAGACCTGCAGCAGGTTTGTATTCCAGCTCTTGTTCTAATTTTTTAGAAGACTGTGAAATTACAAAGATGCACATAGAATCAAGTTCTAATATACTGTTTGATGGGTGGATGAGGCAGTCCATTGTACCATTTCCTTCTTTGGAATCTCAGGCATGGTTTGGCAGTGCAAGAACTCTGTAACATTAACAAATTTAGGGGCTGGGGAGATGGCTCAGTGGAATAAGCGCTTCCCTGGCAAGCACAAGGGCCTGAGTTCAATCCCCAGTTCCGCCAAAAAAAAAAAAAAAAAAAAAAAAAAAAAAAAAAACCGAAAACAACAAAGCCCAAGGGGCTGGGGAGATGGCTCAGTGGAATAAGCACTTCCCTGGCAAGCACAAGGGCCTGAGTTCAATCCCCAGTTCCGCCAAAAAAAAAAAAAAAAGTCTCAGCTAGCAGCCTGAGCAGGTGGGAGGGACGGCCTTTGCTCCTGCCGTGGTCATCACACCATTTACTTATTCTACCTGTCTGGGAATTCTGTTCTCACTCGTAGAGATTCATATGCTGGATGGAAATTACATGGATAAATAAATTTGCTAGCTGAAGGTAGTCATCAGTTCCTAAACATGTGAAAGGTACATCTAGGATGAAAATGCACCCACAAGGGTGAGGACTGAAGGGGGCGCAGTGGGAAGGCAGCAACCAATAGGAAGCCTTTGAACATCCTGACTACTGCAGGGATGTGTCACCAGCTGTAAGGAAAACTCAGAGAACTCTTCCTAGGAAGAGAGAGCCAGCTGGGTGCGGTGGTGCACACCTATCATCTCAGCACTCGGAAAGATCGCTTGCTGTGAGTCAGGGGCCAGCCTGCACTACATAAGCAAATTCAAGGCACGACGTAACAAGACCTTGTTTTTTCTCAAAAAAATAAAATAAAAAACAGAACCATGAAGTCATGCCATCCCTTGAGAAACAGGTTTCTCTAGTAGTTTGGCAACTATAAAAAAAGTAACTTTTACCCTTCAAACTCCTGAAGCAAGGGACTTAAGCCACATGACCCCAAAATACCAATGCATGGAAAAAAGATAAAGCCCGGCAAGAAACTGAGGCACTGGAGAACACCAGACAGAAATACAGAAGCAGAGCAACAACGGAAGAAAATGAAAAAGGGAGGAGCAATCTGACCGTCACAACCTGAGAATATATGTGAGGACTCAACAGTCCTCTTCAGAAAGCAAACATACTGCTTGATGTTGATGCTATCATCAGTCACCCGGAACACCAGCATTCTCTCACAGTGAACTCTGGTTAGACTTATGTGACAATTAAAAACACTTATGTGATAATTATTTTCTTCAACATGCGCTAAATCTAAGATAACTGATTACTATGGATAAACTATTATAAAAGGGATACACTAGTACCTCTTCAATTAAGTGTTTCTAGCTACATAAATAATTCTGTGGAGGACAAGAACTATTGTCTATTATGCTTTCCCTCAATATGCATAATGATAAATAATTTCAAATAAAAATAAGCATCTCACAGTTGTGTATTATGATCAAACTAATTCATCTGGTATTCAAGTGAAAAATCAGTGATCTTTCCAATGCTGGATGAAAAGCTGGCTATTCTAGTCTTAATAAGTTTATTTTAAAAGCTGATTTTAACTAAAAATGTTTTGTTTTGCATGCACATTGCAGAAGCTAACTCTCACATAAGATGAACTACTCCGCTGTAAACACGATTGAGCACTAGGATGTATAAGAAATGAGGAGGGGCTACGTTACACTGCACATCTTAGCCACTGAATTAGCCTCACTTATCACTGTGATATCAGGCCTGCCCGTGGGGCGCAGGGACACATCGCAGTATGCTTCTGTACCTTCCCGTGAGTCCTAATAACAGACAGCAGGCCTCATTCAAGTCCTCTCTCCCTAGGACAGCAATGCTGTCCCACCGGCAGCGTGACCAGAAAGCAGGCAGCAAGCACTTACCTACCTTAGGAGAATATGGAAACTTCTTCCTAATATCCGAGCCTAAGCATATTCTATTTTATAAAACCAGTCTTATGCCAAATGTACCTGTTTTTGTTAAGCGTTTCATTCAGCACAAGATCTTCATAGCGCTGCCGGGCGAAGTTGCCTCCAAAACCTAAAAAGGTGGTGACGTAAACCCTGTACACATGTTCGGTGTGTTGTACATCACAGCCCAGATTGAACTCTGCAAGGAGAATCTTGGCAGCTTCTTCCTGATGTTAAAAGACAAAAGAGAATTTTAGTTCAACTTTACTTCTAGAAATCTACACCCCTGCTAACGCAGCAGGCTCCTCTCGGAACTGTCTTACTGCCCCCTTTCCTCCTCACACCATTACTTCAGGTAACAAGAGATAAAATGGTATGACTGCACCAAGACGCACAAGTTAAAGGCCAGGTTGGAAGACTAAATACATAAATTACAGACTCAAATACTATCTTTGATTACAAGAGGTAGAATTATTAAAGCTGATGTCATTGTTCTTTGTACTTTCCAACCCTCTGCAACAGGAATGTGCCATTTTCATATTTAGGGGAAAAAAAAACTTTTAATAAGGAATTTGGGGATCACCAGGAGATCTATTCTCTGACTTTTCATAACTTTATTTAAGAATTCCTAATATTTCTTGTGATAGATTTGGGCACATAATAGATGCTCAATAATAAAAACTGCTTTTCTCTCCTATGCTGGGAGTTCTCTGCAAACAGGAGGATCACTACGAGCCACTACGAATAGTGACACCCTCTACAAAATACATAAAATAAAATAAAAAAAATTAAGCTATGCTGAAAGTTGGCCTTCAAAATATGTGTACACATTCTCAGAGGTTAAAGAACATTAGAAGCCCAGAATTGAATTATTAGTAAGGGGAAAGGAACTATCATTTATGAGACGAGAGTCACATCTCGCACACTGTGCTCCAGGACTCACGTGTTATGGGTGCTCCTCAGGCAACCACAGAAGACACGGCGTACTGGTTGTAACTGCTAAAATGTACCACATGTTTACGAACTAGCCAGTTTGCTAAATGCTTCACAGAGGGCATCACTTCCTCCTCACAACTCTATCAGGCAGAACTATCACTAAGCCGTTTTTACACAATGAGGACACTGAGGCTCAGGGAAGTAACTCAAAGTGACACAAGCAAGCATCCGAACAAATGTTTGGACCCACATAGGTTGGTTTAAATCCAAAGACAGTGTTCTTCCTTTTCACAATACTGTCATTTCTAACTGAATTTCCACAAAAAGCAGAACACCTGTTTTGGAGGAAGGGCAGAGGTTGAGGTAGGAACTTCATAAGCAATTTGGAGAGAGGCTCCTCCCATATCCAGGATCCCCACTGTCCTTCGGCGTCCTGTTGCTGATTCCTGGGGACTCTCGGCATCTGACTCTGAAATGGTAAGAAAAGAAAAAGGTCCTAGTTAAGTAAAAATCAAAGTCAAAAATAAAGGACACTCCCCTTCAAGAAAAGCAGCAATCCTTTATATTTGGAAGCAATTAAAGAAGTTTAGCTAAGCCTACTAACTATGTATTACATAGAGAATGACTTCAAGTGATTTAAACAAGGTATTTTGTGCTTAGAAAAGTGCAGGGACTGGGGTTCGATCCCCAGTACCACATGCCTCCCCCCGGGAGGGGCACCCTGAACTGGCCACAGAGACTAGACACCAAGGCACACACCAGTGCTGGGGAGGCTGAAAACAGGAGGATCAATTTGAGTCTGAGCTGTACAGGGAGACACTGTACCAAATATATAGTATTTTGGCTACGTATTCATAGGAAATTATATCCTAAAGATAAAAAAAACAAGTACTTTGAATTGCATCCTAGTAATATAATACTATTGGTATTATTTTAGAATAATTAAGCATATAAGTTAAGATTTTGTTGGTGCAGTGCTAAGATTAAACCCAAGGCCTGATGCAAGCTAAGCAAGCATTCCACCACTAAGCAATACCCCTAGCCTATATTACTATCTTTAGGAACAAAGATAAGCATAAAAGAAAAGGATACAGGAGGACCAGGGAGATGGCTCAGTGGGGTAAGTGCTTCCCTGGCAAGTGCAAGGGCCTGAGTTCAATCCCCAGTTCCACAAAAAAAAAAAAAAAAAAAGGATACAGGCATAAAAATCAAAGACATGAAATAAAACTTCATGATCTTTTATTTAAAAGAAAGAAAAAAGCCCCCAAAATTTCAAAACCAAATAATAACAATGGTTAATACACTGTACACTGTATCTTTAAATTACTCAGAGTAGATATTGGCATTTAATTGTCCAAACAATATTAGTACAAACCTTTTCAATGAACTAAGGAAAAATAGAAGTATAAGTTAATAATCTCATATATTTTTTCCTTGCTTTTCTCTCTCTTATTTTCTCCATTCCCCAATTCCAGTTTCTCTTCTTTTGAAGTGTCTTCCCATTTTATAATATCTATTGTACATTTTGGATTTTATTCATTCTTTCAGTTTCTCATACTAGGAAGACAATATGATGTTTACACATGTGCATCTGGTTTGAGTATGCTCTCGAGTTGTATCTATTTTCCTGTAAGAGACTCAAGTTTATCCTTCTTTGTGGCTGAGTAGTACTCCATCATACAAAAAGATCACATCTTTTTCATCTACTCCTTGGTTAATGGGCATTTGGCTTGTTTCCAAAATGTAACTATTACAAATTGTGCTGCTATAAATCAATATCGTATGCTGTTTTAAACTCTGAGAAGATACCAAGAAGGGGAATAGCTGGGTCAAATGAGACCTCTAACCTAGTTTTTTGAGGACTCTCCACACTGATTTCCCCAGTGGTTGCACTAGTCCGTACTCCCACCAACGGTGGAGAGGGGCTCCTTTTTCCCCAGCTCCTCCAGCATTTGTTATTAGTTGACTTCTCTACGACAGCCCTTCTTTCTGGGGTTGTTTTAATTTGCATTTCTCAAATGACCAGTGAGGTGGAACATTTTTCATATACTTATTTGCTGTTTGTATTTCTTCATCTGAAGAGTATGTATTCATCTCAGATGTGCATTTTTGGGTTGTGTCTTTAAATTTGGGAGGTCTGACTTTTTTTGAGTTCTTTATACACTCTTTTTGGGTTTTTTGGAGGAACTGGGGATTGAACTCAGGCCCTTGCGCTTGCCAAATAAGCGCTTATTCTGCTGAGCTATCTCCCCGGCCCCTACATTCTTGATAGTAATCCACAATCTTAAATATGAGCTGGAAGCATTAGTAAAACTCATAATTTACTGTTCTCTTTCCTAAAATTTTGTATTACCCTGTTCTGATCACTAAAAAGCTTAGACACTGGTAACCCAAGAAGAATGAACACCCTGGGATCTAAACCACAGTCTGTACGTATAATTTTTCATTAAAATAAACCAGACTTTCTTTTAAAAAAAAAAAAAAATAGCCAATGCCAGAAAGTATCAGAAAGAAAGTATCCACAATGAGGATGGAATACGTTGTTATGTCAGATGCAGAAGGGCCAGGGAGATAGCTCAGTGGCATGAGCGCCTGCCCGGCAAGCGCAAAGTCCCAAGTTCGATTACTAGTACCACAAAAAAAAAAAAGGAGAAAATAATCAAAGTATTGGGATCATGTTAAAAAGGATACAAGTGCTAACCTAAAGGTGCACCTAAAGCTGCAATGGCCTCTCCCACCCCTGCCCCATCCTGGGGATTTAACAAACCCAGGGCCTCCTACACATTGGGCAAGTACTCTACCACTGAACTACACAGCCTCAGGACAATGGGCCCTAAGGCATCAGATACGTTAAAATACGTAATTTCATGGAAGTTAAAAAGTTCACTGTTTACATTTGAAACGTGTTAGGACAACAACAAATTATTCAAAAGCTTCAAAAGTAAAGAGAAATAATTAAGGATCTAGCTTATTTTTCCCTTACGAACTGTATTTCAAGATAACCAAGAGTTGACAAAGTTCATTATATAAAGTCCCACCTGTTAAATACAGAAGGAATGGTGGGAAGTTATCACTATTTTACAACCCCTGCTGCAAGCAAATATCTACGTAATGATCACAATTGGCTCTGACAGCCATTAGGGGAGTGGTGGGTGAGGAATTTTTATAACCGATTAGATCAGGCTGACGAGGCCTGAACCTTCACTTCATCAGTCTGAACATGACTAAAAGTAAGAACCAGACGATGATGCGGTGCCGCAGGAGACACGCGGCATCACCTTGCAGACACAGCTGAATCCAAGCCTAATCAGTCTGCATCCGGCCTCTCCAACCAGAATACACGAGGAGAAGGGTGCTGTCAAAGACCCATAAGGATGCACAAGGCCAGCGAAGGTGACCCATTATAGACGGAGCACCCACGCTGCAACCCCAAACCCACTTAAGTATCTCAAAGTGCCCACACTGCAATTAAATTTGAAAGTTGAGGTGTTTTTTGTTTTTTGTTTCTTTCTTTTTTTTTTTTTTTTTTTTTTTTGTGTGTGTGTGTGTGTGTGGCCAGCTCAGCCCACCAGGGGGCGGGGCTGGCTGGCATGTGGTGCTGGGGGATTGAACCGCGGTCCCTGTGCTTTGCTAAGCTTGTTCTAAGTAGGCGCTTTAGACCACTAAGCCATCTCACCAGCCCAAGGTTTTTATTTTAGGAAAAAAAAAAACTGTTCTCCGATGCTCGGCTGCTGGCTCCTGTGTTGACAGAGGGGCTTGTGTGGCCACTGTGGCACATGGACCACAGGTTCACGATCGCTTCCGAAAACCAATTCCAGAAGGTGGCAAGCTCATTCTGTCAAGTGACTCAGTTTTGTCCTTTTTGTTTTTAATGAACGATGTGCAAGAAAGTACAAGAGTAGGGTGGTAAGGTTACTGTCAAAAATTAAGAGTGGAGGCTGAAAACAGGAGGATCAGTATGAGTCTGATCTGTGCGATGAGACCCCGCAGACCCTGTACTAAATACATAAAAAATAAAGATTGGCAAAAATAGGGGAAAACATGTTTTATGTGAGGAAATATGAAAACAAAAAATGTGAAAACCCTGAGTGTTCAGTAGAAGTAAATGGTCCAAGGAAGTTTATTTTATTATTTATTTTTATAACCGTTTCAAACCATACATATGAAAAGGTTAAAAAGAAATAAAGCAAATTAGGACTGGAAAATGTGACAGAGTGTGTGTGTGTGTGTGTGTGTGTGTGTGTGTGTGTGTCTTACTTTTTATTCGTTGCTGAGACAAATATCCAACACCCAACATGAAGGAAGCAAAGGTTTATGTAGCTCACAGTTACTGGAGGTTTCAGTCCATATTCAGCTGGCTCCAAGGCAGAGCGGCACACAGACGAGGGCAACCTTTCACCGCGGCCGCAAAAAGCAAGAGCACAAGGGAAAGGAGCAGCAGCTCAGGCAGGGGGCTTCTCTCCCCATCTTACACTGTAATGCAAACTACTTGCCCCAGGGCAGGGGCAGCAGCCACACCCACTGCAATCAATCACAAACTCCTGAAGCCACCCCAAGACTGCACGAGGCTTTGGGGGGGGGACACCTATACACAAACCATAACAGTGTGTGTGTGTGCACAAGTGCGTGTGCATGCGAAGGTGCACATGTGTGTTGAAGCAACTTAAATTTCAAGAAAGAAAACCAACTAGGCATGTAATCCCAATAGTAAGGGAGGCTGAGGCAGGGGAATCACAAAATTAAGCCCAAGCGGGGCAATGCAGCAAATTAACAAACCTGTTGCAAAAAAAAAAAAAGTAAAGGACTGAGACTGTGCAAAAGCCCTGGGTTCATTTCTCAGTACTATACACACACACACACACACACACACACACACACACACACACAGAACTCCAAATTGCACTTAAGTACTACCAACAGGTTATAACTTAACTCCTCATCCCTTATAGAATTATTGTAAGATAGAATTACTCACCATCCTCATGATCAAATCTTCCCAAAACAAAGTTGATACCAATCCATGCATAAACCCCTGAAGAAGAAATACAAAAGGCCTCATTTAGTTCTCTACTGCTATACCACGTGCACGCCTCTTCCTAGGGCTACTCTCTTCCCCTTTTCTTGGGAAGAAAAAAGTCATAGTACTCTATTTTTCTGGACTCTCAGTGTATAGATTTTCAATCTTTTATCTTGTGATTCTTTCCCTCTTTTAAAATTATTTGTCTAGGAAGCTAAGGCAGATGGATGGATTGTGAGGATAAGGCCAGCCTGGACTATACAGCAAGTGAAAGCCTGCCCTGGAGTGAAACCCAGTTTAAAGAAAAAAATGACTTGTATCTTCCCAATTTCCCATAATGAATAACTATAAAAACAGATGTTAAAAAAATATAAATCCTTGAGTTCTACTTCTGGGTGACGTAGAAAAAGCACATTCCACCCTGTCTCACTACTGGGTGCAAAGAAATTCTAGGCAGAATGCATGCAGGAGGTTTGTGAGAACTCTGAGAAGAGAAAGGTACTGGGCACACTGAACGAGGCCAGAATTTACCCTCAGCCCAGTAAGGAGTCTCATTTTTTTCCTCTAAGACATTTCCTGGTCTTCAAAAGCAACTTGAAACATGAAAGTATGCATCAGGCACGGGCAGAAATAGCTTCCAAGATGTCGCTTGCTATGCTAGTCCAGGGAGCACAAAAAGGGCACCCCAAGGTTCAGAGATGCTTCTGCTTCTTTTCCTTTTTAAAATGTCCCTTTCTGCCCCAGGCAATCCCGTAGCAGCAGCAGTGCTGGGTGGGTGGATTCCTAAACTTCCAAGAATGTGAGTTCTCCCCAGCCAGAAGAATAATAGCCTGGAAGGCAGATTCTCACTGCTTTTTTTCCCCCCTGTCTTCCTGCCACTGGGCCCTTGATGCAGATGCAATCAGGGAAGTCCCTAGCAGAGTGGGCAAATTAAAGGCCTCATTTTCTGGGCGTGACACTACAGGCCCCTAATGCCAGAACTCTGGGACGCTGAGGCAGGAGGATCGGAAGTTCAAACCCACCCTGGGCTACTTTGTGACTTAACATGGCCCTGTCTCAAAATAAAAAAATTTAAAAAGATGGTGAAAGATGGTGTGTGTGTGTGTGTGTGTGTGTGTGTGTGTGTGTGAGCGAGATGGCCTTGAGTTCAACACACACACAAATTTTCTGACCAGCGAACCATGAACGTGAGCTCCGAAGAACAAGAAAGGATTGGAGCTACCATGACAGCAGGGACTAAGCTGTGTATGAACTCCTGGTCTTACCGCTAAGGTGCACATGTACGATCTGATGCCCTCACAGCCTTAGGATTGAAACCAATTACTTGGCATACAAAGAACCAAAAGACATCTTAACCAATAAAGGAAGAGACAACCCACAAATGACAAGCCTGAGATCACACACATATTAGAGTTATCAAGCCTGAAAGCAGCTGTGTAACCAAGAAATTCGAGCTGTCTTGCAATGAATAGATTCAGCAAAGAAACCGATTAAGAAGAAAATGTAATATTAAGACTGAAAAATGTCCCACCTAAGTGAGTTCTCTTTTTAGTCACCTTAGATCCTCATGGTTTTACGCTATAAAAATCTCTGGAAGAGACAGCTTCCCAAAGCAACCCACTCAGGTCCTCCTTCTGTCCCTCTCAGAAGCTTTCATTCCCCCAATAAATACATTCTGCTATTTTAAAAAAAAGACTGAAAAATGCAAAATTCAAATTCAAAATGGTAATTATTTTTCTTTCAGCAGACCACAACAGGAGGAAACATGATCTGCTTGGGCACAGTGCCACACACCTGTAATCCGAGCCTGAGGAGGCTGAGGCAGATTGCTGAGAGTGCAAGGCCAGCCTGAGCTACACAGCTAGACACTGTCTCAAAAGCCAAAACAAAACAAAGTAACTGCATAGTAACTGCAATAAAGGAAGAGTCTATAACAAAACTAATACATCCCAATCATCCTCTGAAATTAAAGTTTTCCCTTATTTGACCTAGTATTTGCTTTATACTTGAATTTGGCAAACTCGATAGAACTCCCAGAACTATTTTAAATATTTTCAAAAATACTTTTAGCTCACCAAAAATCCATTTAGAATCATCATTAAAGACTCAAAGTTTTTTTCTTTTATGTATTTAGTACAGGGTCTTACTACACAGATTGGACTCGCAGTGATCCTCCTGTTTTTAGCCTCCCAAGCGCTAGGATTACAGGCGCGCACCACCATGCCCAGTCTCAATCACTGTCTCAGTGCGCCCCAGGGGTGGCGCCAGCACAGCACGGGGATTGAACCCCAATCCCCTAGCACTTGCCCAAGCACGCACTTTAGTCCGCTGAGCTAACTAGCTAGCCCTCATCATTACAGATTAATACCCTCCAAACATGGTGCTTAGTACTAAGTTAAAGCCTGACAGACAGCAATCTAAGATAGATACCAACGCAGAATATAGTTTAGCAAAATCTAAAAAAACACTGAGGCAGAAAATTAAGATCGCCTATACATAGTGTATTATTTGTTGAAACTGTACTTTCCATTTGATTTGAAACTGTCTCATTGCTATATGTTTATCAATAAAACTTTTGAAAAAAAAAAAAAAAGATCACCTATACAAGGTACCCTAATGTTATAGCCAAGGTAAATAGTGACTGGCTGATAAATGACAGGGCTGCCGCACCCCTGCAGGCCCAGTAGTACCTTCTTGCTTCCCGGAGATCACTTCTGCCTGAGACTGAGAAAAGAGAAAGTCAAACTCCAGGGGTAGATCCCTCACCAGGTCGGCCAAGATAGCTAACTGCTTCCTGCAAAAAATAAGAATGCAAAAGTTAATCGGTAACTCTCCTCTTATCTGTCCATC